GTGTAAAATAGTCGAGCGCTTTGAGATTCAGATAGACGTCCACTAAGTGCGAATGATATGGACATATCAGGTGGTGTTCGTAATCCACAAGGCGAAAATTTGCAGAGTTCGCCTTCTCGAACCAGTATCAGCCCATTCACAGACTGGCCTTCACAGCACACGACTTTGGAGCCGATGACCTTGACAAATGTAGACTGATACAAGAATTTTTTCTGTAAGAAAAAAATATTGATTAGACTAATAGCGGACGTACTCGGTTTGCAAGGTTGCGGATATCTACTACGGGGATATTATTGAACGCTGGGGCCATGGAGAGGAATCGAGCGGCGCGGTCTCGCTAGGAAAATAAAACGATATTTAAAAAATATATTTACTATTGTAGGATTGAGACTACTTACCTCGACTTCGTGTTGTGCACGGTCAATTCGACTCCACTGATGCCACGATAAAGCCCCTATCACACACGTTGTTGTCGTAATTGCTGAATACGCTCTACAGTAATATTTGATTAGCAGTCAAATATTTTTAATAGCGATTGTTTCTTACCGTGGAGCGTTTGTAATCCTCCCTTGGTGACCAAAAATATCTCCGTGCTCAAGCTCACAGAGCTCTAATTGCGTTTGCTTCCAGTCCGAATTAACGGGTGTTTGATAAGTATTCCATGGAGGTTCCCACGTGACGTCGGACGCACCCATTTCAGCTTCATCCAGCTCTCCCTGCACTTTAAAGCGCTCTTCAGAGCTCTCTAGGTACTCTGCCGACAGCTGAAACATTCTACCAGCAGTCTTTGAGACAGATACTCTTCCTTGAAAAATAAAATACAATGACTTATCATGTGGAGCTTCAACACCATTCTGTTCCATAAAAATTGGTGTTTGGGCTGGAAGAGCTCCATCGGGACTTAGCACAAGATCACGACATAAAAGCTTGCAAACTTCCGGATTCAACGCCGCGCAAACTAAGAATCTCTTCTGCATAAAATCGACGAGGTATTGAAGGTCACTGTCGCTTCTTTCAGACGGTGGAAGTCGAGCAATCTCCAGACTGCGCTGAAGCGTCCAAGCTGTCAGTGCATCTTCAGTCTCATCAGGTTCGCTTTGACACTTGTTTGTGTCTTGGTTTGTGTCAGGTTCGATCTCCAATCCACGTGCTATTTCATCGTTATGTACACTTTGTTGAGGGATTCTTTTCTTCGGAGATGTGGCACGCTTCACGGTGTTGTACAGGTGCTCAGCAGTGTACATCACACTCTCGTCTGCCAAGGTAGTGGAGCCCCCTGAGTTCTTTTGAACAAGGTCGTAATCTTGTGCGGCCTTCTCGAAATCTACATTCTTACGGTACGCTGCTGCTCGCTGTCGATAAAATGCACTTGGGGGTGATCCTCTATTGGACCCTTTTTTGTCTTTGCTGACACTAATCGCACGTGAAAAATAGTCGACAGCTTGAGCTACTTTATCGACACGCATACACAAATTGCCCATATTATAGAACGCAAAGGCATGTTGTCCACCGGGAAGTCTCTGAACTTGCTTGTAAGCTGCTAACGCGGGTCTGATTTGACCTGTTCGTTCTAAACACACAGCGAGCTGGAATTTCGCCTCAATTTCACTCTGTTTTGCAGTCGATAAACTCGTGTAAAACTTGATAGCTCGGTCATAATCTCCATTTGCTCGTGCCTGGAAAGCTCTCGAGCGCAGACATTCGGTAGCATTCATCGCGGCTGTGAAGACGACACGAGCTCGGGACAATAACTCCATAGTTCTCGTTTCTACTCCATCACGATTGGGCTTACCATCCCGACCAAGTTGCCCTCGAGACTCCACACTTCGACCAATAAGCGGGTTCACATACTGTTCCTGGTTTCGTTCGCGTCGAATGGCCTCTTGTAACGCTATAGTGTCACTTCTCGTCGTAAAATGTTCCTCATGTTCATGATGACGGATTTGAGTCTTCGAGGTTCGACTGGTAGCAGGTCGTTTGGGTAGTTTGATGCCCTCCGATGGAGCAGATACTCGAGCGGTAGAAGGCCTTGAAGGTCGTTGTTGATTGGTCTGCTGTGTGTTAGTCGAGGTCAGGAACGCCCATTGTGCGGTGGCTGGATAGGACAATTCCTGTCGAAGTCTGCGATGTGAACTAGCCGAAGACCCACGGGCAGATCTCACAGTTCCATCGGGATATGTCCTCGTTGATGGGGTACATCCTATAGATTCCGATTCTAACGGAGGTCCTTGCATTTTCGCTTGCCACAGCACGTGCTCTTTTTTTCTTGATGAGCATTCACTATTTTTAAAAGGTCTTGACGTTTATAAATACCTGACAACACTGCACCGATCAACCAAATTGATGCTATGGCTTCTTCTATTCCAACAGTAGGCGACCAGAATGACGACTTGGAGAACGCAGTATTTCGCGAGAAGCACCCGAGTGACCCACAGTTTCTCATGTTCCACCCACTCCAACCGATCTGGCAGCTCCCATGTTTCTCCGGGCTCGATCCAGGTCGTCTTATCCGCCCTTATGATCCTCATCTTCGCCCCGTACAACGGTCGCCGTCCGCTGAGCTGGATCCGCATCTCGTCAGGGAAACAAAAGTATCCCATCCGCCACATCCAACCTCACTCCGGCTAGTACCATGAAATTTATTTCCGAGGATAGCGTCTTGACCAGCAAGATCTCCAACCCAAATATCGAACCAGTACACCAAACAACCTGCCAACGTGACCTTGATTCGCGTTCTCCCGTTTGTACGGTACACGCCTTCACCAATCCCAACACAATCTTGGATCCGACTCCCATCCACTTGGCACCCAACCTTACGAGCAAAGGCGGTATCTAGTATAGACACCTCGGCACCACTATCTAGGAGTAGGATTGCTTTTTCATTGTTGATCTTGCCCCCTACCTTGGCTTGTCTGAACCACTTTCCCGGGGCATGGTACTTCCAGTACCCACGGAACTCTCCTGTTAGCAGATCCATGGATCCAACATCCTCAGATCCACGGGATCCAGTAAGCTGACCGACCTTAGGTGGATCTGCAGTGACCTCCTCCTTGGTAGGCTCAAACCATCGACCATGTTGGCGTTTCTCCCAATAACCACGTGCCTCTCCCCTTTGTAGATCCAGGGTTGAAGAGACTTCGGATCTGGAAAACTCATCCACTAGAGATCTTGACAACTGACACTTCATGTAGATCACGTGTATTATCGACTGGATCTAGGGTCCTGCTACCTGAATCTAGCGATGTCTTGTTCACAAATGCATAAATGCAATACCTAGAACGCTCGGCTCGTACCGGATTCAAACCCGGCGAGCGTCCTAGTTTAACATCTTCTCGGCCACTTCTGGCAACATCCCTCTGTGCTTGGCTGGATCAAAGCATTGGCGGATCTGGTATTAGAATTCTTCCATCGGACACTTGCCGACGTCGTGAATCTCGCCACAACCGCGACACACGTAGAAGCAATGATCTTCGGGATGACCTTTCTTGCCACACTTCTCACAAACCAGATGTTTCCAGCATCCAGATTCAGTGTGCTTCCGGGATCCGCACTGCGAACACCTGACCTGGGCTGTCCCGTCCATAAGATCTCGGGATCTGTACATCCCACGGTCCCCGGGTACGGTATCCCTCGGTCGAGAGTTGTCTCCGGTCTTCGCCGTTCGATCGTTGGACGCAGTGAGACAGACTCGACGGTAATCTTCAGGGTCGGAGTCCGAACCGTTGGATCCTGACTCAGGAACTGAGTCAGGATCCGTGACTTGGTGGACACGTCGAGCTGGGGCCGTGGGCGTCGGAGCCTTTTGGCGATACTTGCCGGATCCGACCGCCGCCTTCTTCTGGCGGTGTTTCGCGCGATCCACAGCCCGCAGCACTTCTTCAAGCTCATCTGCGTCTGGAAGACGTAACAAGGTCATGTCGGCCAGGTTCACATCTCCCAACCTATCGATGAAATGATCCACATGTTTCCGTAGTACCTTGGATCCCCCATCCTTGATCTTCAGCTAGGCCCGTAGACCGGCCTCATTTAGTCGATGCAGGTATTCTAGGAAT